TGTTTAAAGTAGTCCTTTAAATAATTACATAATTATTAAATACAGTTTAATCCAGAAAATTTTTTCAACTTTGTGTGCTTTTTGTATTCTAATAAATTAAATAATTTTGCTTATAAATGTCTTGCTGTATCCAGTAATTAAAGAAAAACAGATTATTAGATATGTTCATGACATTTCATAGATATTTATTACATTTTCATTGCGCTCCTGAAGTTTTTTAATGTAGGAGCTCATGTGTTTGTGTCGAGCCGTCTTTGTGCACTGAGTGTGATTTTGAGCAGTTCAATCATCACCACACGTTTATCCTCACCTGGGGTCAGAGGTCACTGCTTCATCACTGAAGAGTGACAGATCCATCAATCCTCCTCCTTTATTCAGAGACACACAGCTGGGATCAGGAGATGAAGATATCTTCCTCTTCCTCCTCCTGAAGATCATGAGAAAACACAGAAATCATTCTTCCTTTAGTTGTGTCTGCTGTTTCATTTATTATAAGTCTGTCTCTAACGGCTGTTTCACACTGTCAGTGTTTCTAATGTGTAACTAATGAGTCACTGCTGATTGTGATTATTCCTCTGATCACTGTCATGTTACAAGCTTTTGTTTATGATCGTCAGCAAACCCTGTGAATGCTAAACACCATTGTCTCTTTGTGAATTGGTAATTTTGTGAAATCTCTTGAGTATTAAACATATAGTAAGTGCAGGAATTCACAAAGTCTCATGTCATTTAAAAATAAATAAATAAGCCCAGACACCAACAGCCTAGTAGGGTTAATTATTTAAATACTTAACTAGTTAGCTACAAATTAAATTAATTATTCATGGTCTAATAATTTCATATCAAATAATTAAATTGTTGTGAGATCCTCTCCCACTTTGGACACATTTAAATCTAGACTGAAACGAGAGAACAAATGAAACGAGGTGTGGCGGTGAGGACCCGGGAGAGAGGGGTTACATTGGTGCCGTGACCCGGATGGGAGTGAGGGTTAGGGGGGTGAGTGTAACGGAGGCCAGCGAGTAGGTGCTGTGCAGGTAAACCTCACTCCCCTGATCTCAATAGACGCGCTAGTGGCTGCAGTCTTTAGCCTCCTTGTTAGTGCGTCCGCCTCCCATGCCGGAGTGAGGGTTAGGGGGGTGAGTGTAACGGAGGCCAGCGAGTAGGTGCTGTGCAGGTAAACCTCACTCCCCTGATCTCAATAGACGCGCTAGTGGCTGCAGTCATTAGCCTCCTTGTTAGTGCGTCCGCCTCCCACGCCGGAGACCCACTCGGAACAAGATCAAGGTGTGGCGGTGAGGACCCGGGAGAGAGTCCTCATAAGCAGCATCTGCTCTCTATAGCTCTCACGTTACTTTGACGTCACTCACCGATCAGTCTGCGCAGCGCTGCTTCAAGTCCAACACACCTATTGTTTTAACTTGCTATCTAATGTCATTTACTTGTTATATATTTTGCATGTTATCAGAAATCTACTCTAGAGGGACTCTGTAGTTATTGAATGATTCTTTGCAGAAGTCTACCGGAAGTTAAGTTTGGGCCACAAAAGCGTGCATGCGCAGTAACGTTTGTTTATGTTGTTGCTATTTAAACTGTCTATAGAAACTTTTGGTTTTGTAATTCGAACGCAGAGCACGCACACAAAAACACAGGAGCATTTGAAAGCGAGTGACTTCGAGTGGGTACAGAATTGAGTTACTACTGGTACTGTAAAATAAATCCTACACCCCCCACCCCCAAACAATTAAAAAAATTCACCAGAGCTACACGAATCACAGAAATGACCCAATTTGAATTCAAAATGTCAAATTTGGCCAAAAGGTGACAAGTTTGCATCCCTGGTGAACGGCCCTGATGCTCATATAGTTATCATTAAATTTATCGTTCTTATTGTGAATGAGCCTTAAGCATCTTCACAACTTCAGTTTATCATTGAAAACAGGGTTTCCCAAACTGGGGTTCATGAGGAAACTGCAGCGGGTTCGTGAATTGATGAAAAGCTAATAATTAAACCATTAAAATAAAAAATTCACCTTCAGAGATGGAGTTTGTGCGGAGCAGCATTTACTACAAAACAAGGTTTTCATGCGAGTTTAATGTCTGACTGTACGATATGAATCCACTCTGAAAACACTGAATCATGAGCCGCATCTGAGTGTGTGACTCTGAAACATGCAGCACATGAACATTCACAACACCTTCCACATTCACTAATCACACTCAGCCGCCTGGCAATGGGATCAATCGCTTGTAAATTATTAGATCCCTGCATTAATAAAGCAGTAGTTTAGTGTCTCACCTGGGGTCAGAGGTCACTGGATCATCACTGAATTTAGGAGGATAACGCATGGATCCATCACTCTTCAGAGACACACAGCTGGGATCAGGAGATGAAGATCTCTGACTCTCTCTGTTCTCCATAATCAGAAACCGAATTCAGACCTGCATATGGAAACACAAGAGAACAAATGACACATAATATTGTGATTATTATTCCAGTGATTCCAGTGAAAACAAAGCTTAACGCCGCACACACAATGAGAATGTGGAGCTTCAGACGTTGAGCTGCAGCAGTCTGTGGAGAATCCTTTTCTTCTGATGTCCATAAAGTGATGGTTTACTGACTGCAGTGGAAGAACTGCACAAAGCCCAGATCTGAACCCACTGAACCCCTTTGAGATGAGCAGAGATCCAGAGCTCATGAGCATCAGCAGAATCTGAACATTTCACTTCACCAGCAGGAGAAAATCATGAATCCCTGTTCAGAGGGTTGATGTGTTTCTGCTGCTGTGACGGGACTTCACAGACAGCTTCTCTGCGCACAAATCAACTAACTGATGACTTTATATATGACCAACTTTGTCTTTGGTTTTGGATAGTTTTAAAATGATTTTTTTTTTAACTGTTTTAATTCAGATTAATAGTCTACCACCCCACTGATTGCCGCTTCATTTCATCACTTGTCATGTAATGATTGTCATGTAATGATGAAACTGAACTCATAGCACAGTATCATAACAGGAGAGAGACTAGCTGCGAGAGAGAAAGACAAACTGGACGATATTTCATACTGGAAATGCAAATATGTTATTGCAATAGTCTTTTATTTTATGTTTCAAAGTGATCATGGTGTCATCATTCAAATATCACAAAGCAGCCACTTTAATAAGGCTGTGTAGAGTTTAATGGCAGAAAACATATCTGTATGTCAGAATCAAACTCTCACTAAAGCTGATCCACTTTGAAAAACACGGTCATTCTAGCCCCCACGTTGTTTTGCGGTGCGCGCATGCATTACGATAACAGCATGTAAAAACTCAGTTTAAAAGAAAAGTGATCTTTGGCATTCATTTATTCATCAGTTTATCTATCATTAATTGATAAATAAATAAGTAAACATAAAAATACACAAATAAAGACATCATTAACAGCGTCAATAAATATAAAATAATACAAATGTTGAAAAAACGGTCTGATAATGTGAAAATGACTTAAAATGTTGAGTAATATTAAATGTACAAACAAACAAAAATATCAAAATGACTGTCTGATGTGAAAGAACCAAAACAAAAAGCCTCTCACAAACTTGTATGTACAACCTGTTTCATCTGTAAATTAATGTTGTTATAAAAAGAATTATCCCTGTTTCCACAGACCAATTTCAATTCAGATTAATAATCCACCACCCCAGAGTGTCACTCAGTCAGTGTCAGGACTGGCTGATGTTGCATTACAAAAATAAAAGCCCTCAAAACTCATATATGACCAGTTTGGATAGCTCTAAATAGGAAACTACCTGTTTCCACAGACCAATTTCAATTCAGATTGACAGTACACCTCCTCAGAGTGTCACTGGGCCAGTGTCAGGACTGTCTTATGTAGCATTACAAAATAAAAGCCCTCCAAAAACAAATATATGAGCAATTTTGTCTTTGGTTTTGGATTGTTTCCAAAAAACTGTTTTAATTCAGATTAATAGTCTACCACCCCAGAGTGTCACTCAGCCAGTGTCAGGACTGAATGATGTAGTATTACAAAATAAAAGCTCTACCAAACTCGTATAATACCATTTTTGTCTTTAATTTTGGATAGCTCTAAAAAGGAAACTCCGTTTCCACAGACCAATTTCAATTCAGATTCTAAATGGAAATGTATATAGCTTTCACATTTTAAAGGTGACATATTATGAAATTCTGACTTTTCCAGGTTTTAAGTGCTATAATCAGGTCCCCGGTGCATCTACCAACCAAGGAAATGTGAAAAAGATTAACCCAGTAACTTTGTTTTGTTAAGCCTTTTTCTGCAAGCGTCTGAGAAAACGAGAGCGTCAGATTTTGCTCCCTTGGTGACGTGGCAAAGGGATCTCATTATAATATTACCTCCCCTTAAGTTTACACCCACAGCGCCGTCATTTTGATTTCGCAAGCGACAAAGCTCTAATGCCATGGCGAAAGTTTGAGCAAAACATGCTAACTGTTCTGTCTTTGGCTGCTTTGGCTGGCACAGAACACTGTTTAGAGTTCCAGCATCAGAGGAGACGAGAGAGCAGTGGATTTATTGACTTATTTACTGTATATTGCTGCTGCCACACAGATCTAAAAGCGATTTATTTCCCAGCTGTTTACCTTCACAGACATAACCGACTCACTCTGATTGGAGGATGAGAGGGAGCAGTGGCGATTTAAGCAGCCTTTCCCCGCAGAACAGGGTGGTTGTGTGTGTCTGTATGTGTGGAGGCTGTTTTTTGAGTTTTTTTTTTCTTTTTTCTTTTCTTAAAGGCTGATTTATACTTCTGCGTCGGACCTACACCGTAGCCTTTACGTCAGTTTTCATTTATACTTCTGCGTGTTGTCCGCGTCGATGTGCAGTACACATGCAAACCGCTAGTCTGCAGTGTCCATGGGCATGTTGAAGGTGTAACCCACAGTATCAAGGCAAAAGCCGAAGAAGAAGTGTTTATCACAGCAGCAGTGATGGCGGCAAATAGAAAGCGACTTCTTTTGCAGCTTGAGTTGTTAAATATCGAAGGACAGAATTTATTTAAAACGACAAAAAAGGAGACGACAACGGAACAGGAGAAGATGGTGTGTACGACTATTGCACCAAACAAGACAACAGGAGGGAGAATTTGTCATGCTTGTTCGACAAATGCGGGACATAGATGAACAGATGCATTTCCGATATTTTCACATGTCTGCAAGTCGATTCAACGATTTGGTTCGTCGTTTACAGCCTTTTATTTCGCATCAGTGTACCCATGGTATGCCGATTGATCTTCGGCAAAGATTGGCGGTGACCCTTCGTATGTTAGCTTCAGGTGCTAACCAACAGACTGTTGCAGCTAGCTACAAACTTGCGCCGTGCACAGTGTCCTCGATTGTTTCAGAGATCGGTAAAGCACTTTGGAAAGCCCTACAGCCAGAGTTCCTCCCTTGCTGTAATGTAGAGCAATGGGAAGCTATCGCAGCTGATTTTTGGCGCTTGTGGAACTTTCCGAACTGTGTCGGCAGCATAAACGGAAAACATGTTAACATCAAGGCACCCCCTTCAGCTGGTAGCGATTATTTTAACTACAAGGGTGCACACTCTATTGTCCTCTTGGCTATCTGCGATGCCAGATACAGATTCACTATGGTTTATGTGAGAGGATACGGGCGAGAAAGCGATGGAGGCAACTTTAAGGAGAGCAAATTTGGTTCCATGATGCTCGAGCAGAAACTGAACCTGCCCCCGCCAGCCAATCTCCCTGGGACCACTGTCACACTCCCTCATGTGATTGTTGGTGATGCTGCTTTTCCACTACTAAATAACCTCATGCGCCCCTTTCAAGGTATGTTGTATTTCATTTCAAAACATTTCTGTTGTAAGTTTTAGCTTGGCATGGTTTTATATATTATGATAAACATTTGTAGTAATCCCAGCAATATTTGTATATTTGTTTTAATTTAGGTGGCCCAAACATGACGCTGGAAAAGCAGACATACAACTACAGGCACTCCAGAGCCAGACGTGTGATCAAAAACAGCTTTGGTATTTTGGTGGCAAGATGGAGAATTCTCGGACGAGCCCTGGAATTTCAGTCTGACAAAGCTGTTAATGTTGTTAAGGCCTGTGTCATGCTTCACAACTTTATCACCTACACAGATGAAGTAAACACACCTGCAAACCGATACATCCCTGCTAATTTTGCTGACACCGATGCATCAGGTGTACTTCAGCCAAGTGAATGGTGAGGAGTTGTTTCAGAGAATGGTAATCTGTTGCATGCACTCGATCCACGCTACCCTGGAAAAGGGGGCGGGGAGCAGCAGCTCATTTGCATTTAAAGAGACAGGCACAAAAAACAGCGTGTTTCTGCTTCCACTCAAAATAGGCATTTACAAAATGATATAATAAATGATCTGTGGAGTATTTTGAGCTGAAACAGACACATTCTGGGGACACCAGAGACTTAAGGCTGATTTATACTTCTGCGTCGGATCTACGCCGTAGGCTACATGTCGGTTTTCATTTATACTTCTACGTCATTGTCCTCGTCGACGTGCAATTACACATGCAGACCGCTAGGATGCAGTGTCCACGGGCATGTTGAAGGTGTAACCCACAGTATCAAGGCAAAAGCAGAAGAAGAAGTGTTTATCACAGCAGCAGTGATGGCGGCAAATAGAAAGCGACTTCTTTTGCAGCTTGAGTTGTTAAATATCGAAGAACAGATAATTTATTTAAAACGACAAAAAAGGAGACGACAACGGAACAGGAGAAGATGGTGTGTACGACTATTGCACCAAACGAGACAACAGGAGGGAGAATTTGTCATGCTTGTTCGACAAATGCGGGACATAGATGAACAGATGCATTTCCGATATTTTCACATGTCTGCAAGTCGATTCAACGATTTGGTTCGTCGTTTACAGCCTTTTATTTCGCATCAGTGTACCCATGGTATGCCGATTGATCTTCGGCAAAGACTGTCGGTGACCCTTCGTATGTTAGCTTCAGGTGCTAACCAACAGACTGTAGCAGCTAGCTACAAACTTGCGCTGTGCAGTGTCCTCGATTGTTTCAGAGATCGTTAAAGCACTTTGGAAAGTCCTACAGCCAGAGTTCCTCCCTTGCTGTAATGTAGAGCAATGGGAAGCTATCGCAGCTGATTTTTGGTGCTTGTGGAACTTTCCGAACTGTGTCGGCAGCATAGACGGAAAACATGTTAACATCAAGGCACCCCCTTCAGCTGGTAGCGATTATTTTAACTACAAGGGTGCACACTCTATTGTCCTCTTGGCTATCTGCGATGCCAGATACAGATTCACTATGGTTTATGTGAGAGGATACGGGCGAGAAAGCGATGGAGGCAACTTTAAGGAGAGCAAATTTGGTTCCATGACGCTCGAGCAGAAACTGAACCTGCCCCGCCAGCCAATCTCCCTGGGAC